TCTCTGATCAAGCATCTTGGCCATCAACATGCACTTCATGGGTCAATTAACATTGACAAAGTAATACACTGCTGTCGTTGTTGGATAAGAGGTAGGTTACTCCTATGGTCTATTAAAAGCTACGCCTTGTCATCAAAAGATTAGCTCATGGCGCACATCAGATGCGGCAGCCACCAGCCCTTCCGACAATGCTTTTGAATAGACCATGCTAATAGATACCCAAGTCGAAGGTTAGGAGAATCCGTTAAAATGTGTGTCTGTATGTATCACCTTCGCTGGCGCCTTTCCTCCTGTTGTTTTTGGATCTTCCTAGTGTTCGATTTCGGTATCTGGCGTCTAGTTAGCGGAGTCTTGCTAACGATGCTACTGAGAGCACAACACGCTTATACCTCAGGCCAGTCATCAACATGCTGTGTTTGATTTAGGAGGGATATTAAGAGCGCCTTAAAGTTGCTGTCAATCACCGCCCTGACGTCTTGGGGCTTTGGTGTCGGAGTGAGAGGATAGGTATCGGTGAGTACATGTGGTTCACCCCTTGGTAATCCACGATGCGGTGGAGCATCTCATTACCCACTGAGCTATGAGGCGTCTCTTGCAGGAATTTATCTGACCGAATAGTGGTTATATTCGAATGTCTAAACGGGACAGGATTAGTCAGTGATTAGGAACGAGTTTAAGTAGCAGTCAGAACTCACTGGATCGGGTGATTTTCTAATCCTCTCTGAATACCGGAGGGATTCCACAGACCGGTAGTCTGCCCATTCGTCGACAGATGCCCCAGCCGATGTTATCTGATATGGCTCATCTAATGACGTCCCGGCAAGAATTGGTCATATCGTGCGGTCTTGTAAACGTTATCAAAGAAGCTCCAAACTTCCTCTTGCGCGTTATCCCGTGCTGGTATATGTGGACCAGTTCAACGTTTGCGAAGGCACTGGTAAGGGTAAGGAGAGTTTCCATAGCTTCGGACTGTATGGCAGCAGATCTAGTTGATTGCTCGGTCGAAGAAGTCAGTACCTGAGACTATTGGATGGTAATGGACAGATCGTGCGCGTTATAGCCATGCCGGTCGCCACCTAGTCAACACAGAGTCAGCATGTACACAATAAAGGTGAAATTGTCGAGACGTACAACTTTACAGTGGGTGGCGGTTGCGACATTGTTGCTTTTGATATCAGACAATGAAACGATGATGCGTATCATTTTAATGGGGTAGATAGTATATATCTATTGCTGTATTAGTGATGTGGAGGTGGGTAAATCTCATACGAGGTATGATGTGAGCAGAGAGTAACTTGATATATGAAGTGATACTGAAGAACAGTGAGTTTTACTTGCAGACATGGAGTGCGCCTGTATATTACTCACATCCACACCTGACATCCTACGAGTGTCAATGATCCGGCATGTCTTTCAAATGATGAGATTGTCCTGTTCCTCGCGGTGTTGACCCAAGTCTCCATTTCGTCATCCTCTGCTGTCTTGGCAGTCTTTCTTCTCTCTATACGAGATCAGAAGAGCACATGTAAACAGGTTTTCTAAGTCGCTAGACAGCATCCGCAGTAGTGACAGTCGTATTAATGGAAAGTAGTAATAGTAGTTTGACAGCCAGACTCCAGCTGTATAAACTACATCGAGGTCACCAAAGACGATTGGATTCCATAGGAAGCCTACTGTGTGGTGCGATATACTCTGTATGCCATCTCACTGAGATGCTTAGCGTGCTGACTGAGTAGTAGGGCGCTACTTCATGACTATCGACTGAAGATACTTACTCTGTACGATTTTTGTATCTATGTGGCTATAGAGCTACGAAAGATAAAGACAGGTCAACTCAAGAGAGACTGTTTTCATTTCTTTGAACTATTTCATTTCATGTCTACATCTTGCTTCTTCGCCGCGGCGGCGGCCTTGCGCTCTTCAAACTTCTTGCGGAAAAATTCGGCCGATCTTTTTTTTTTGACTGGGGCTCCGATGCTTCTTCTTGGTGGTCTCTTTCTTCTCGTTCTTCTCGTTCTTCTCCTTCTTGGTATTGAACTGTATAAACCACATCATTAGTGTATATATTTCCATGGACAATGATTGCCCAAGATGCCAGTGTGTAATGGAAAAGTAGGATTGACTTACTTTCAGAGAGGCAATCAGGCACAAAATGTTTTTCATCGTCATGCATTCCTTCGTTCCTTCACACGTCGGTACACCGCATTGACACTATATTACCTTCATTAAGCATTGATTGCGAAGATCGTATAACATTACTTACAGTCATTGTATTGTAGGTAGTTCAAGTTGAAAATGCAGGAAGGGAGTAGTATTGGATTGAAAAAAGTCACCATATGTGATGAGGAGGTGGTGCGAAGGAGAAAAAAAAAATTTCAGAGACAGGGACGGGGGAGGGGGGTTTTTACTCAACATATACACCTAAGGCATTCACACCAGAGACGCGTTACACGAACTCAGGTCAGCAGACCAAAACAAACAGGTGTTTTGCTCAGTATACATGACGTCTTGTCATTTGACGAGACCAGAAACCAGATTCATGCCTGCAATTGAAGCCACATCAACTGATGTCATTCACTGCTGTTCAGGTTCCTATTCCCAGTTCACGCAGCTCGATATCTTGCCTGTATGACGTCTATCAAGTAGAACCCTGATCTCGTAGAGTCCAAATGCAGTATCTTGTATGTTAATATCCCTGGCCAGATCAACAGGTAGCTTTGCCATGATGCGATGATGACCTGGTCGTCATGACCAGGTTATTATGCACTGTCAGTTGCTTGTTCTGTATCGATCATTTATACAGGATTACCATTGCATACCTTATGATATGCAGACACGCGTTGGGATCAATGCCTAAGGCACGGCCCGTTGTTCTTCTGTTCAATCCAACATGGGAGTTTGCTCAGCGATTTGTAAGGTCCAGTCTGGTTTAATTTAGGTGTACCTCCTCAATGTACATAGATGGTTTACAGATAGGCTACGGCGTTGATATGATCAATAAAAGAAGCACAATTATCCATTACTTTATCCATAGGACTTCGAATAAGACCGTCCGGACCTCAGGCATAGGACTAGCAGTAAAGCTAAACAATAGTATAAAGTGCTTACGTGCTGTACCACGTGCAGAAAAGCTTGTTATTTATGTGGTATGTACTTCGCCGCCATGCATATGCAAGGTAACATTGGAATGTAGACTGGAAAACCAGTTAAAGAGTTATGCCACATCTAGATAGGCATATACATCGTGTAGTCCGCAGGTCTTTTATGTGACATTAATATACAATGAAGAGAAATGATAATCTCTCTATCTATCAGATCCGACATAGGACTAGAAGTGTGGATATGGTACCTGAGTATACAGTATCTTAGCGTCTATTAGTTAAACCGCCGCCTAATAAGATCAACATTGCGGCGAAACCCACTACAGAGTTGATGGATGTAGATCTCCGAATCCACCAACAGAGACTATTCCTCGCTTCTCTTTTAGAGCATCTTAGCTTCAAGAGCTTAATCGAACATAATAACTTTGTTGGTTATTTGATATAAACTATAAATGGTGCAAATATGACTGTCTGTTCAATGAACATAATTTGTATATCAATTTAATCCGAATTAGTACACATATCATGCCTCCAACTGTGGTTACTGTACTATACGGAGTTCATTATGATTACCTTTCCTACTTTCTAACGGTGCCAAAATGTAGATGCATTCTGAAATGTGAAGTTATGATTAAGTACTCGGAATATAGAAACAGAGTTGAGGCCTGCTTAGTTCTACTTGGCGTAATGTTAGTGATATATGAGGAGGAATATGAAACCAACATTTGTGGAAGACTTGATGACAACTAATTAGGAATTCTTCGGAGTTAAGCTATGCGATTGTGGATGCTTTGATTAGATCGATTTATCCTTTCAAGACCGGACACATTGGATAAATGAATCCGTCCGGACTTTGACAGGCCTTCAAAGGGCTCATCGTCCGATGACCGCAATCATCCTATATTGTGGCCGATACAACTCACTGGATCTGTGTTTAGTTTAGCCTTATTTTGTAGACAATGTGGACTACGGTCGATCATCATACAAGAAGGAACTGAACACAGTCGTACTATTACTATATCCACTAATGATAGCATAAATTCAGTCATCCTCATGCAGTCCTTGTGTCGTCATATAACACCGTCCCAGTCGGGTACTATATAGATGACTCGGAGTGATGCCTTACGGTTTCAATAGCACATAGGACACTCTAGCCTGGCTTAACCGGTCCTTGCAAACAAGCTCGCGGACCAGAACCATAATTTGAATAATCTTCTGCTTCAATGGCGTCGATAACATAACGGCATATTACAACAGGTAGTCCCATATAGTAGATCAGTTCCATGATCATAATGCATACCTGCAATTGAAGCAGGCGATAAGTACATTCATCAGCTATCTATACTACTGTAGACGATCAGAGATACAGTACCGTTTCCGAATACTGTTCTTGCCCTGAAGACTTTGAGAAGCCGACAAGAGTCACGCCGACCCCTCCCACCCCCTCCCCTCCCCCCGGGCCCCCGGGCACCCAGCTCACACTCTTCAAGTCGCCTCGGTTTCTGTTCCTCTCCTTTTCTTTTCCTTTCCTTTCCTCGAAGACCCCAATTTTTCGAGGACGTGTGCTTTCTTTACTAGATACTTATAGTGTCGTTTCAAGAAATTACATTCATTCTCAGGTTACTTTCTTCAGAAAACGAAGACATGGAACCAATTGTGGTCTTCCTCGCGCGTTCTTCTAGTCTTCATGGGCCTACTGCCAACGCAACGCATGAATTCCTTCTGCAAAGCCTGCAGTTCACCCAAAAAGCCTATGAGAAGACATATGGGATGCTTTCTCAGGATCCAATCTTTCTTACATTCATCCAGTCTTCTGAGGATTTCCGTCCTCGAGGACGAATGGTTACTCGATTACTAGAGATACTCAATACAGCCAGGGAAACCAGCTGTTCTGTCACTATGGTTGTGAATGGATGGGATGGCATATTTACAAATTCATTTGTATTTGCCGACATCTTCACGCCATACTGTGATATTGAAATCAAATTGAGATTCTTTGTCGATGTACCACGAGTCTTCAGAGAAGCAGATGCTCAAGCAGCTGTAAAGCTGCTAAGATGTGAGATAGATGCTGATGAAACCCCGTTTGATACAGCTGAGTTTGTGAAAAACATCCAGATAGTCAGCTTCATAAAGCAGAACTTGTCGGATTTACGCAACCAGCTCATTCAGACATCCTATAACCGCAACACCCCCCCTGACTTGCACTTGAACGAAGATGCGCCGGCTAAGTATACCTGTGACCAGTGCAATGAAGGCTTTGATAAGGCCCTTCTTTTGGCTGTGCATAAAAGGAATAACCATGGCAACGAGACTGAGGAGGAAAAGACTTGTCGCTACTGCCACAAGATCTTTGCACGGAAGGACGTTCGTGTCAAACACGAGGACAGGTACTGCAGCCAGAAACCTGGATACGTCCGCCCTCCTCCTCGCACTCTGAAGCGCTCTTTTCCAAGTGCAAGTGGATCTACCAATGGATTCATTCCATATGCAGAGATTCAGCAGTACTCAGATGAGTGGCCTGCTATCAATGCGGAGAATCCAGTGATCTATAGGGGTGAGGTGTTCTGTCGCTGGTCTGGGTGCCAGCGCAAGGTCAGTGTAAAGTTTCTACCTGCTGGTGATCGATGCTAACCTTAACTGTCTTCACTTTAGACTCCTTTCAATGAAGCATGCAAGCTGGTCCGACATCTCAAACGAGAGCATAAGCTGGACTTGCCGAAAAAGAGCCCTGGTAATCTGAATGCACGGGAACAACGGCTTCATGATGAGGGACTTGAGTGGCTTGCACGCTGTGCTTTCTTTGGGAGGGATAAGGTTGATGACGAGGCGCCTGTCCCTACTCGGCACTAGGCATCTGCTTGGTTCTGAGTCTTCCGGATGGAATAGGAGTGATGATATGATAAATACTCACTTCAATGTATTTGAAGGTATATGGCTAACCGTGGTCAGGATCTTCGAATCTTCCGCAAGATTTGGTGGCTTTGCCACTTAACTCCTTTTTTTTTTCATCAATTCTGTCGGCATGCTCCGACTGCTTGGAGAAGAAGATTAGGATCTGAGACAACACAAGCAAGGTCTTCATTCGAATACATTACAGTCGGTCGCCTGAGACGGTCGGGTACGAAGTTTTTCGAGTTAAGGTTGTCGGTGAAGGCTTTTCTCCGTCTCGGTAAGTTATTGGACCCCGGAAGCTGTTCTGTTTGGTTCTAATATCTCCCAGTCCCAGATGATTGCTTCGCTCCGCTACCATGGTTATCTTTTGTGGGATGAAGATGTTTAATATTTGGAGAGGTTTGGAAATGATTTGCTTACTGACCTCGTTTGCGTTCCATGGAAATCCACAATAGATTAAACGCTGACCATGAGTTTCTTGTCCACAAAGCAGACATTGAATGCGCGTGTTTCCACTTCGATCATGAGTTTCAACCTCAGATAATGCTCTCGGGCGAGCACTCATCAAATGAACACATACGTATCCGAAAATTCATCTCCACGATTCGAACCCTGGCGTCGGGGCATTCCACCATATAACAGCACTTTCTTGAGTCACACATGGAAAACAGCTTTCATGATTCAAACCAAGGCACCCCAGCATCAGGCCCAACGCAATGTCAAAGTCCCGTCAGGCTATAAATGACGAGCTTGATGAGATATTTTCTGATAAGTCCAGTTTCTACGGTACAGCCATTCTACCCGAACCTGGTCTTAATGTCCTTATATTCTAACTATTGAAAATAATAGGCGACGACGCAGAAAAGTCCCATTTGGAAGATAGACAAACATCCACCCATACCTCCTATCTACGACCAAGCATGAATCACGAGCCCCAAAGCCCGTTCCCGATGGCGATCAAGCCAAACACGAATTGTCATTAGATACAGACCTGCTCTCCGAGATCCCCCTCACAACATTGCGCCGCAATGCGCGCAGCCCAAAAGAGTCCATCCACAACTTCCTAGCGCACCTGCCCCCATCTACGACAGAAGAAAAAGATGTTGGGCCATGGATATACATCACGAACCTGCCCCGCAAAGCTGATCCAGACAAGCAGGCTATCGCCAGACTCGTCCGTGAGGGAACCGAACTACTTCACAGATTCGAGGACCAGAAAGTAGAGCATGATCGCTCGAGGTCCAAATCCAAGACAGCGCTGACGCGCAATGAGGCGATCGAGTCAGTGCCACTGGTACCCGTCTTAGTGCGTATAGCTGGAAGGAATGGCAGCTACTTACCTATCAGATGTCCAGCTCATGACTGAGTTCAGCGTCGATGTGTCTATCGAAAGCTCAAGGTAAGGATAGACGCCGTTCATGCTGCTAGGTTACGACATGGCTAATCGGATAACTCATGAGTATTACCAGTCAGAGTCAGCACGACGAACGAATGTCGATATGGGAACGGACCATCAGCCTCGAACATATGGCATGAACAGTATCTTCGTGTTCTAAGAGATGATGTACGATGACTATGTTCCTTTTCTCTAGAAGCCAGACAGATAGTAATGTCCTGCAGCTTTGGCTGTATGTGCTATGTTTGAGTATCCATTGAATCGTAATGGACGTAGCGTAAACGTCACTTTATATGTTTGAAGATCACTTATCTCATGCCATTATCTTGTGTTTTTCAGACTATGAATAGTAATTCTTGAAGTTTAATTATGTAACTCTCTCCAAGTCGCAGTGCACAGTGGCAGATTCCAACCAATCTCCAATTCACTGCTGTGGAAGTGTCTAGATGATATACAACATGTCTCGCATTCTTATATTCACTACCGCTTGATTATTGTTGGCATACATAATTTGTATTCACTCCATCATAAGATCGAACCGGCTCAGATCTTGGACGGACCCAACATATTCACTTTCCAACGTACTCAATATCACGTTCTTGTTCCCTGTTGCTTTTACTTTCCTCCTTTGGCTGCTGCAGACGCTCCAGATAGGAAGAATACACTATGCATTCGATTTCATCGTGTTCCTTCATCCATTTCATCCATCTGCATCGGAGCCATACGGTTGCTGGATCTATGAAGCTTCTAGTCGATTTTGTGCCCGTGATACTGCTAGTGGCTCCATTGAATATATAGGAGCTGGCACGCATATCCGGGAAGATGCTTCATCGTGGGGAGCAGCCGTGCCGGGTTGCACCTGGGCAGGAAGCTCAAATTGTTCGGATGGTTGGCCAACTGAAACCCTCCGGGAACATTCAATCGCGGCTCTCCTGCCGTTACTCGTCAACCCATTGGATAACTATGTGCAGGGCCTGGAGACACTCAGGAGCTTCAGAGCAAAGAGATACATGAGAGAGCTAGGAGCTATCTCACCAATTTGACAGCATAGTAGGCTATCTCTTCGAACAAGTTGGGTCCGGCGCGCAGGTAAGTATCCCAGCCATGAAATGATGGAAAGAGCTCACAATTGACTATTACTGAAGCTTTCGCTCAGGTCCAGGAGATTTTCAAGTCAGCCTCCGAGGTGACGCAAAAGCAGTTCATGGTGCTGCGCATTTACGCGCTTAAAGCTCTGGACAAGAAATAAGCCTAGGAAAGGTATGTGGATATCTGGGTTCGAGTGACTACATGAGCTGATGCTGTTCAGTGCCGACTAGGGCCATATGTGGACGACTACCGATCGTCTATGGGATCACAATGGCAGGAGGAGCCTTCTGTTTGCGGAAGTTAATGACCCCCCTGGGTCTGAGCTTCAAGCCACCTTTCAAAATGCGAGTCAGGAGTTCGAGGAGAAGGCAATCGACTAATCCCATACGCAGGTCCAATTCGGAGGACTGGGGTGGAACGCCCTGGAGTGATGATTCATTACCACAGCCTTTGTGGAAGACCTTAAAGCTTAATTTAAGCTTGTACTGCTCTGGGTACCTAAGGCTAAACAGCAACGGCATCCATAGATGATATCAGCCAGCGGCATACACAAGTTTTGCGAATACCCGGAAAATGCTTCAACTTGGCACCATTCCCATGCCCCATATTCCGGCTATGATGCAAGGTATGGTCTATGGTGTCAAGAAGAGCAGGGCCAAGGCAATCACACCAAGAGAAGGATGCCAATGGCACAAGAATACGCCTGATATTTATTAAATCAGGGCAAGATAACCGAGGTCTTACGAAAGACTAATATACCAAAGTATCTCTTTAAGATAACCGATTTAAGGAGCACAATCAGAGGCCAAAGCAATGGCATTGCGCCCGTTTTCCAACAATCGCAGAGCTATTTTTGCTCTTGCAAGCCCCTTAATAGGGTATGTTTCCAGAAATGATAACGAAGTTTACAATCCCTCGAAAAGGGCCGCTTTGCTGTCAAGCAAATTGGAATCCGCCGCTCTCAGGCATAGGCTCCACTCGACTTTTGCTTCTGCCATAAGCGGAGATGCCTGCATTCCGTTGCCTATCTTTCTGTCGCTTTCTCATCAAGAGAAATGATTACTCCGATAACTTCCGCTAGCAACTCTGGTCTGGTCAGAGTTCCTCAGGCATTTTTGCTGCCACTCGCTCCGCCTCGGGGCTATAATGAGGCCACGAGCCAATATGTTTTTAAACAAGGTCCCCTCTGAATTGATCATTGATTTTGCCGACTTCCTCGGACCCAAAGATCTCAATGCTCTAGGTCCAAACCGCCAGCTCCTTCACAAACCTGGTGGGTCTTCATCTCCTAGACCGTGGCCTGGCTGACCCGAAGTTGGAGATACTCCTTTGGGCTGCTGCCAAAGGAGACGAGGATATAATCAGGAAGTTACTGGTACGGGCCAACATCGGGCTAAATGACAGCACTACACCCATGATGGCCCTGTTTGCAGGCTTTGGACAGCGGTACTAATGAGTCATCTTCTGTGAGTATCTCTGATTAAGGTATCTGCTTAGTGTCCTCGTGTTGTTGTTGTTGCTAACATGTAAAGAATGGCTTTTAGTACCCTTGCCGAAGCATTAGATAAACGATTACAGGGCACGGACCGCAGCCTTTCTGAGCAAAGGAATGAAGGCTTCCGAAATGGACGATGTTTATAACCGCCGATCGAGTGGGATGGGAAACCAGAGAAGGAGTCGCATCTGGGTTCGACACCAGCCCATGTCTAGTGACAAGTGGAACGACAACCTGTTCAATACCGCCGATGTTCAGCAGGCACAGCTGGCCATTATCCAAGAAAACCCTTTATCCCCGCATCAGCGACAAGAAAGCGCCAAAGAGGAAGCTGATATACTCATTTTGAAGAGAATTATCTCGTTACCGATGCCAGGAAAACATACCGCTCTTGCCTTTGGTGCTTGCCGTGGACTTGAAAATGTGGTCAGACGATCACTGGCTACGAAGCTAGGCGATATCAACGCAAAAATCCACTCAATCATACCTGGTGAGGCCCCAGGCGAAGCATTGTCCTGCATACTTTCTTTACCTAACAAGCTTTTACTAGAGATAGCAAAACACCTCCGGAATCAAGTTTACCTTAATGCATTCTCTTGCATGAACCGATTTATCTTTAGCATCATAAACGCATCACACCCGATCACTGTCTGAGAAGCCAGGCGACATCAACGCGAAAATCAGCTCTGTCATACCGATTAGTGACGAACAGCTCCACACGCCTCTTTATTACGGACTGGAAAGCGAACAAATATGAGTGATCGAGCTTATACTCAGTGGACACGCGTCTTTGTCGTGGAAATGTTGTTATTCCCAGGTTGGATCGATTCAAATGTCTGAGTCGAAGTTGAGACAGGGGAGAACGCAGGCTGGGACCTTCTTATTGGTCTTCTGCTAAGCAGCACAGCGCGACCGCATTCCCTTCTTTGATAGTAACTTTCATCTTTGGCGGTTGACTTTCGACTGGAACCCTATCCGTATTTAACTATAGAACCACAAGCTCCAACATTTACAAGGCATTTCGATCTGCAACCTCAAAAAAAAAGAGAAAAGAAAAGAAAAATTATAATAATAAAAAAAAGCGAAAGAAAAAAGTCCCTTTGGCATAAGGGATGACTACTTAGGGGCGGCAAAAAAAGGAGGATAGGCTTGGCACTCCCTAAGGAATTTGACTGAGAACGAGTTCACCGTCGTTGTCTCTGATTCGACTACCATCCTAAAAACGACAAGGCAGGGATTCGACCTGGTTCACGAATGAATTTGATATTCATATTCAAATCAAACGCCTTAAACCACTCCGCCACCTTGCCGGTGGTTGAAATACTGAAATTCGATGTGAATTATCCTGAAAAAATAGAATTCGCCTCCACTACACTGTAGAAGGATTGAATGTAACCCGAACTTGCGCCAGTTCTTAGTATGAGTGCGGTCATTTCTCATCTCTAATGGATCAATTACCTGCAGGTTAGAGTCCAGAGATACCGTTGATGACATCCTGAACCAAGGTCACTAACAAACGATCAGTCCTACCCTCCATGTCGTATATACAAGTTCAGGTTAAATTCAACCCTTCTAGTGGAGGGGAAGCTTTTTCTCTTTTATAGTGATAAGAGACAACAATTTCTGATAGTTCAACAACAGGCAAGGTGGCCGAGTGGTTAAGGCGTTCGTGCTGTGCATAAATTCTAACTTTACAGGGTACTACATTATAAGGATTTAATATTCATGTTTGGTATTCAATATTGATACTATTGTATTTGATATCCTTACTATATGTCGACTCAGAAGTTGGCCAAAGTACTTGTCGAACATGCCATTCGTTGCCCTTCCTTTGAGTTTGGAAGATCAAAATATCGCTGAGACATATCGCTGAGACAAATGATAAAGTCCCAGAATGTTTGCCGACAAAGCAGTATGAAGAAGTGGTCTGGGACTAATTTCTTCCCCCACATGTATGTTCGCATCGTGGCGCCGTTCTACGCGCGTCTGGAGAGCAAAAGAAGCAAGCAGAGGGAACCTTGAAGACTTCAGAGCACCATGTCCTAATAACTTCATGGCTGAAGTGACTTGGCCTAAGTGTATCCAGATTAGCCTCATTAATCAGGCACTAGCGGGATTGTTGCAACTTGCAACCAATCCTCAGAAAAGTCCTCCAGTGAGAGGAAACGATCCGCCATTTTTGAGTGTAATTGAGGTGCTAAAAGTCCCAGGACTGGCCTGCAAGCGCTGTAGATCAAAGCGGATGTAGGAAACGAGATTGAGGTTAAATGTAATGCTCCAGCTGGCGCTTTGAGCTGTAAATGAGTGTCGATGGAGCCCGGGGATTCTGCTGCGGAGGGCAGTCAGGAAGCTTCCGTAGTTGGTCTGGACTCTAGAGCTTCGATGAGCTTCATCATGAACACGTCCCTGTCTTATAACCTCATTATCGAATTCCGTAGGGAGCGTCTGTGAATCTGGCCCTTGTCTTTCTTTTGGTTAGTTTCCAATAAACTTCCTCCTTAATTCTAATCATAAAATTGAACTCTACAACAGGCATGGTGGCCGAGTAAGGGCGTTTGACTGGGCTCGCAATCAATCATTCGTGGACCAGGCCCTGCCTAATGTATATCTACATATATATCTTCCGTTCTTTTTTTTTTTTTTAGGACCCTATTGTTGACCTGTGATTGTCGCAATCAGAGCTGGATAGGTTCCTTTATGGGGTGGCATTGTTTTGTAGCTGTGCTTTGTCCAATGCTTGCGTGCTCAAATCCAGAGCTAGATTCAACTTTTATAAATCCATATCTCGACAAAGAAGCAACGCACATGCTGTATTATCATCATTGTAATGTAAGAATATCTTTTGATAGGTTGTAGACCCTTAAATTCTTTTAGCATTTGATGTCGATATCTACCAAAGAGAATCGCAACATGACTATTTAGCTTGATTAATCTTGCCAACTAACTGAGAATGCCAACAAGAGTAGAAGCATCCAGGTATGAAGCAGAACTCTTACAGCCCAACATGAAAAACTCAGTGCTTTCCTTTGGCAAGAACTTAAGGATAGTTGGGGTAGCTAATCATTGTAAAAATACTAAAAGTCCGCATCTGGATTGCAGCTACAATCTGCTGTACTAGCTGTGTATGCAACAAATATCATAGTGGCACATTTCAGTTTAGACCAATATTCAACCAGCTATGCCAAAGAAGCAGTTAATAAATGTTTGTTTCTCTCAAACTATATACACTATTCATGACCATTTCCCCATTCAATGAGAGGCCCTAACTTTTGCTGCAGGCACGAGCTGATTAGTGATGGTAGGGACTAGGGATTGAAAGATTGAGAGAGAAGAGAAAAGGGAAAACAACATACAGATAGACGTTCTGTATCAGCGACCAGTATGTAATCTCTCAGTAGATATTGGTATCCAGGCTGCGTACTTGGCTGTTTCAGGAAGCCACAGGTGTTAAGAGACATGATGATGAGTAAAACATCTGCTATTGGGCATGTTGGAGTATGTTTGCTCCTCGCAGAAGATCTAGACATAGCCAGCTCTTAGAGTTGACCAATGATAATTGGATAATGTATGCTGCAAGTATCATATAGAACTACCAGGATCCTCCTACAGATTTTGTTAGTCAGGGTCGTCTGCCTTGAAGCCTGAATCTTCACTGAGACCTGCTACATAAGAGTTCTTACGTTCCTTCATCCTCCACTTTCCTCCTACACGTACGACAACAGTGTCATCTTTATTGAACAACTCAACGCAATTCTAAGATTCTATCATTTTACCTCATCAAATAGGCCATCAAAATGTTTAATCCAGATCCCCCTGCCTGCAAAGGGTGTGGTGCTATGGGACCGCACATTACTTTGAGATGTCCATATCTTCCTTGCTCGTACTGTCGTCAGGAGGGACACATCATAGATGAGTGCCCTACCTGTCCTGTCTGTCAAACCTGCCATCAGAAAGGCCATAAATCCGATTGCCCCGAGAGAAGGAATCGCTATCAGGAAATAGTTGAAACTCCTATACCGCGAAGGCCAGGTGCAAGCTCCATATTTTCAGCGAATCCTCGACCGCGTGACTCTCAGAGCTCAAAGACAGGCATTCGACCTTCCACGCCGCAGAAAACCCCGTCACAGCCAGCGAATTTTTCGACTAATTATAAACTGCCAACGTCCGATTCACGAGCGGCAGTGGGACAGGAAAACGAACCGGTAAGGCTACCATAATCCTCCGTTTAGTATGATGCTAAGAATTTTCAGAACGCCTATCTGATCACACCAAAAATCACATTCCCAGACCTCAAACTAACACTCAGTATCGTCATGGACTATCTATCAAATCAAGGAGATGGGAATATGAGGCACATCCCGTATAAAAAGGTCATCAATGCCGTGGGGAAAGAGGATCTTATCGAAGTGCTCCTCAATGGTATCTGTCCAGAAATCAGGGAACTACAAGGGAAGGAGATAACCGCTAAAGAGTATGTACTGCCACTATTATAGCATAAATTACTCTTACAAATGATCTGACCTGATTAGACTCGAATCCATTCGTGAGAGACAACTCAGAGATGGAGCGGACCTGTGGCGTACCAACAGTGGCTATCTAGACTTTGTCCTCGACGATCGAAAGGAAGATTACTGGCGCGCTTATGTTGGCCAGTCCAACAATCCTATGCTGAGGATAAGCCAACATATCAGAAATATACGTGATCGTAAGCGTGACAGCTTACATTACTATATCATATGGAAGAGGGACCACTTCAGATCAGCAAATTTCATCCGGCTATGGTCAATACCATATATCGCCATGGATTCACCAGAGCTTCAGCTTATTGCCCAGAACATTCTTGAAGTAGGCATGTGCTATGCTTTTCAATCCCTCCCTCCAGCGACCTTAGAAAGAATCTTTGGAAAAGTGGTGGACAGCCCTTATGCAGGCGTGGGACTCAACGTTGTCTCACCACTGTTTCAAGGATCAAATCTACGAGTAGAGGCACGCCATCATTTCTCTCAGCAAGTAGCTGGCTCCCAAGACCCTGAAATCCGGGATTGGCCGGCATTTCGGGCAAGGGAGAGAGCGAAGGAGGAAAAAGACGAGAAAGAAGGCAGAGCCTTCACAAAATTACCAAAGCAGATGATGAGTCTTGAAGACGTCAATCGTGCCCTTGCTTCCGCTATTGCAGCAGAACCTGATCTCTCACATCTTCAACCTCCCGATTTCAAGGGACGTGCACTGCGAGAGTCTCATGACAATCACCAAGTTGATCTAAGACGGTTGAAAGCGCGAACTGCTGTCAGAGTCTGCACTGACCTTGGACTTAATGAGATTCCTGCCATGATACAACCAGATGGGAATGTCAATGCACATATTGGTATAGTGCTTGATTATGTCCTACCAGGGAGGAATAAAGAGGACTCCATCTTTAGTCTACTTCCTTGGGGTATTAAGGAAAGTGGATTTAACCATGCAAATTGCTTGATTTGGGTTCACAACTTGCGCTTATATGATGTCTCTTCCTTGTTGCGGGAGAAAATCAGATCCATAAGTGCAAAGGAGTTTGAAATTCTCCGCAAGTTTAACCATGAACTTATCAACCAGAGCCAGCTGAAAGTGATCATCATGTGTGGATCCTTTGATAAGACTATTCTGGTACCTGAGGATGCCCCCAACGTTTCAGTCAATCTTGAAGAATTCAGCTTTGATATGTTTCTTGAGCATGATGGGTACTGTGTCACCAGGATTTATGCCTGTTCACCTGCTGCATTGCCAGCCCTTCTAGATGATAAATGGCGGGAAGCTCGAAAGATTAGCCTCTTATTCAGATTTGCAACACTGATCACAGGAACACCAGGTATCTGGCCAGGATTCCAGAATTCAGCAATTACTTGCACTGAGATAGACCGACTGGTTCATAACGACAGAATTGCAAGGGCAGAAGGACGGCCAGCGACTACCGTCGACTCCCTCAGCCCCAGCCTTCGGTTTTGGCTTGGGACCAAAGGTTTTGAGAAGGAAGAAGATATTCTCCACCTCCAAGCAAAAACAAGTCTGGCCGAAGCCCTTATGATGGTCATGTGTTTACTTCCATGCCGGCCGAGCGACATAACGGCAAATCTCCAGAAGAGAGCAGTGACTCCGAGTATGACTAAAAGAAGGGGTGTATGGACCAAAGAGCAGCTTGACCACGTAAAGAGTTTACTTGTCGAGCTTAACCCGAAATGGTTCCCAGATCATATGTATAGCAAGAAGATGCAATCTACAAGCAAATACAAGATCGAAGCCGACAATCCGAATGCCAATCTCGATGCGGCCAAGG